ATATGGTACTCTGGTCTAAAACAAAAATGAATGTATTAAGATGAGACTTCAAATTTGATATCTTCTGACATCACATTTTTAAATGCTGCCAAATTAATTTCAACGGCTCATGCCGTTGTAATCAGAAATTAATGAAATGCGTACACCAAAATAACCAGTTTTTTCCCTAGGTAAATACATAAAAGTTGATAGTTTTCGAATAAAAAAAACTCTTCGTTTGAGAACTTCTGAAAGTTTTAGCATTTGCATTTGGTACACAGATCTGCCAAATGACAGTGGTTTTAATTTAATCTTAATAAAAATGAAATTTTTTATGAACTTTTTTTTACATTATTTAAAGTCAAATATCGAAATGCCAGTGGTTCTCAACCTTTTAAAAAACGTTTAGCTGTTTTTTTAACTAATGACATTTGTATATTGTATAAGATATAAATAAATAAATACTTATGTTCAACAGTGACTAGTTAAACTTTCTCTATAACTTTTAAAATCACCCAGTAGGATTTTAGCTTCTGGTATTCCTACCAAGCGTCAATAATTTTTATGAAAAGCTTGAGCACATGATTATATTATAATAAAATTCCTTTGTATACACTATGAGTTTATAAACATCTATTAAAATTTACAAACTACGATAGAATAGGGCAAAAAGAAAATAAGATCAACGCGTGAAAAATATGATAATACGAAATGAAAAAATATATGTCACACGTATATTAAAAGCTAAAATTAAATCAAAATTAAAATTAGTGTGACTACTATAAAGTGTTCAAATAAATGACTTAACAAACTGTATCCACTAGTTTTGTTTTAGATTTAATTTTGCAAACATAAAAACAATGTTAATGCTGGCTAAGGCATCTAATAAGCATCAATCTGTTCTTACCTCCAAGGCGACCGAACCATCGCGTCTCCCTCAAAAAAAAAACTTCAAGTGACAGACAAACTTCTTGTCGCACAAAAATGACTTGTGTGTAAAGAGGGAAGGTTACGAAAAAAAAAACGTGGATCGCCCTGGCAAATGCTGGAGCAGCAGGAACGTTAAAAAGCCTTCAGCCTTGCTAAGGTGATAAATAAAGCTACAATTAAATATTACAATAAAGTTTAGTTAATAATCCTGAAAATAAATGATAAAAGAAAAATACGCGAGCTCAAGCGTTTGCGGGGCGGTTGAAATTTACGTTTTTTGATATAGTTTATTAATGTATCTTGTACACATAGCAGAAACAGATTATCAAATAATTAAATAAAATATTGTGTTTTCACTTTACATTGTACTGTATTGTGTGTTGTACAAAAAGATCTAGATAACTAAGTGAAAAGCAACAATAAAAGTGTTTATGTGTTTACTTTTTGAAATGTGATAAAATAATAATTGTGTTAATTCACAAATTGATTTAATAGTGGCGAAGCTACTATTCATATAAGTTCATTGAAGGGCACTTAGTATGAAACACAGACGATTGCAGAGTGGGCCCTGATGGTGAGGAACGGCCTAGTGCTTTGACTTACCGGGCCGGTATCTGTCGAGGGAGCCGTAATTGTGGGGGTAAATGGCACGAGGAGAGTAGCCGTATGTGTCCCGATGCAATGGGTCGTATCGGTATCCAGGGACATGGATGCGTTCACCGGCATGGATTGGGTCGTCGTAGATCGATTTGCCGAATGGCCAACCTGAACCCAATTCCGGAAGATCGCTGATTGGCCGGAAGATGCCTTTTGGACGAGTATGGATGGGATCGGTGGCCCTTATGTCTTGTGATCCTAAAAAAAAATAACTTTGTAAAACATCACCAGCAATTTGAAGAATTCGTACCAAAAAAGAGAAGAATTTTAAGAAAATAATTTTGGTCAAAAGTATACAAGGTATCAATTTTAAAACTTGCAATTGGCAATATCTCTCGAACTGAAAAAGTTATTGAGAATCACTCAAAACAGTTTCGGTGGTTCCTAGGGGGAATCAAAATGGCATAGTAAATGACCTTTGAAGCCACAGCCTATTTGGTACAAATCTTAATTTTTTTATTATATTCAAGGATGGGTGGAGGTGCGTCACTTACCATGTCATTTTGATTCCCCCTAAGAAACACCAAAACGGTTTTTAGTGATTCTCAAAAATTTTTTCAGTTGAGAGATATTGCCGATTGCAAGTTTTAAAATTGACACAGTGTATACCCCAAAAAGTTTTATAAACAGTTATTATTATAGTGCAAAATTTGTAAATTATAAAAATTTTCAAAAATATACTCATTTTCAATTGACGATGCCTTCAAAAGCGAAAATAAAATGTCAACACATAATAAACAACAACAAAATAATACTGCTAATATTTTCTACAAAAATGTTTGGATAGTCATATTTTCATTTTTGTTTCCAATTAAAATTACTAACGTGCAATCACAGAATTGCATAATTAATCTTTCCAACATTCCACGTGTTTTTAGAAAATACAATAGTATGTACCTAATGTAATCTTGCCACTACTAAAAAGAGCCGTAATGTCTTCTTTCCAAATGTCTTATTTGCTATATCAGAAAATATGAATGTTTTTAAAAATTCGCTAAAACGTTAACTTTTGTTTATACCTATGTATACATAAGTAGGAAACATACGACTTTTTAGTTTCTGAGATCCTTTTTACGGACCTCGAAAAGGCACTATACTATACACCATACGGACAAATGATAAAAATCGAATATTATGAGTTCCACAATGTTTACTAAAAGCTTTTTTGGTTTTCATTTAAAAAATTGTATTGCATGTAAATAAACATCTATGAATTTTTTTGAGATAGTTTTAGCAAAACTGCAATAATAGTAGGACCTAATGTGATAAAAATGTTAAAGAGTAAAACTCGTACATCAAGTTCATGATTGTCCAAGTTTGAAAATAAAACTCAAAGCACTCAAAAAACGAGCTAAAGGTGTCAAAAAATTTTTAAAAAACATTAAGAAAAGTTATATGAAAATTAAGAATATAAAAAAATCTAAAATTGAAGTCCTTCTATGACATTATTGGTAGGTAAGTAACTAAGTTCTGAAATTAAACTTTGGTGTACAAAATGTCTATTAATAAACAGAATCTATTCTCTTGTACTATATTACAAATGTTCCAAGTTTATAAAACTAACTTTAATAGCCTTGAGTCGTAACTCACTGTTTGGCGCTCTGGATTTACGTATATTTTGCAATTGCCTCCCACCACGTGTAGCATGAGTCGGCCCAGTGTCGTCCGTAGCGAAAACACGGACCTTGAATTTCACTAAAATCTGTTAAAATAACAATTATCAAATTGTAGTAACAGTCCTTGACAGCTTTACCTTATTATACGACACTCAAAAAATAAACAGTTACATTTCGGAAATTTGCTCGTAGACAAGCGCGCGACGGCACTGCAATGTAGTGGGGGTAAATAAATCCCGATCGCCGAACAGTAACTCATAACAATTCTTTACACCCATAATAATTTAAAGTCATAAGTTACTTCATATTTAAAATGTATGGAAAGAAATTAATAATTCATTGCAAAATTTTACATGTTGAGAACCTATTCAAATACTAATAAGAAATTTGATATTTGTTAAAAACAGTTGATCAAAAGCTTGGCAACAACATTGCTTTCATTCGTGACCTAAATATCCTGACACAAAACTTGACTGACCAGCTTCAAAACAAGATACAGAGTAGGTGTCTATTTTTATGAATTTTGGTTTGAATAAACTTTATTGAAATTCGGAAAAATCACTGTTAATTTTTTTGAATTGAGCAACAACTAATTTCCATTTGTCTACGTGTTTCATTAATTTTTGTTGATAAAAATAAATAAATATATGTTATATTATTTTGGTTACCAATGTCACACAATATACCTAATCATGGTCTTAAAAAAATCTGTTTTATTGTTAAGACTTTGTGTCAGACAAAAAATATTTTTGTTCAATCCTCTATGTTAAAATTGAATTTTATCTACTCTTGTCTTCATGTTAGCTTTGCTTTCAAAGATAAAATTTAATTTTATCGTCTTGTATAATAAATAACTATTAATAAAATATTTATGCATATGAAAAGTTATATCGTACGAGTATATTAGATTAAATTTCTGATTAAATTGGCCGATGACTTTCAAAATAAAGTTGGCAACATAAAGTAATACAACATATAAAAATTGACAAGTCTCATATCATCTATTTTTACATTATTCGATGTTGGCAGTATATATTTTTTAATACTTACACTAAAAAAAATRAGATATTTATTGTATTTTCTTTTGATATATCAAACGTTTTGCTTGTAAAAATTTTTATTCACAATTACTATAGCAATATAGCGATTCCTAACGTTTCAGAGATCAAAAAATACGTCATTCCATCTTTTAGTTGGGAAGAAATTTATGTAGGATTGCCAACTTTCTGAAAGGAAATGTCAGAAATGTCAAAAACACAATATGTTTGCATAGTAACTAAGCCAATGCATCAACTTTGTTAGAAAAACAGGTATTGTACTATTTAAACAATATATGATTTTAAATAAAGTACAAAGCATATACAAACAATGGTGGGAATTCCGGGGTTACGAGGCTACGCCTTTCGATCAAATAACCTAAACCAATGAAATATTTCCCACTTCGGTTGCAATATACTATATCCGTATAAAATAAATTACATAAAAAACTGTTTTGAGTTCGTTTACAAGCATTAGAAAATTAAATTATAATTATAAAACTATATGTAACAGATAATTTCTTTAAATAAAAATGCCAGAAATTCAAGGGTACAACCTTTGAAATAATTTATCAAACAATGGAAAAGAACAATGAATAAATCTGATCGTTTATCACTTATCATATACATAGAGAAACATAGTTTAAAAAACAAAATAGATACATTTTGATTCACTTAGACAAAAGGTTATTTGCAAAATCGTAGTACCGTGATTTTTTGTAACTGGAAACAATACATTTTTGGAAATGGAAATATTAATTTTACTTTTTTTGATTATTTTGGGATTTAAAAGAAACTCTATAACAGTTTTATATAAATATAACTGCAATTTAATAATTCTCACAGATGAAAACATTATAAACAAAGAATTTTACCTTTAAGGGATCCGACAAAGGACTGCCAGAATTTAGCTTTTTTGGAAGCCGTTTCGTTACGGCCGATCATTTCGAGATGATTCTTGAACATTTTGCCGGATTTTTAGATTCGCTGCTACTTCTACTATAGATGAAGCCTCGTCGTTCGTCTACTAAAATTCCAAACCATCAGTAGTATCGAATTCGAGTATTTTGTTAATCCATTTAGTAGTGTTAGTAAAATTTTCCTTTCGGGGTATTAAGTAATGACCGCAATGTATACGATCACTATTAGTATCCCACAGAAGCAAGTGAAAAGTTCCACCACTTGGAGAGCTTTCGAGTCCCACGCCATCCCGTACTAATTTGGCGAGAGGCCCAGGCTAGTATCAGTTCTCCTTTACTATCGCTGATTCTATATTTAGGCCGATGCATTCTTAAGCAATGGCCTCATCATTTCGCAAACTATATGTTTCACAAGTTTAATAATAAAATTGCTGTTGGCGCAGGTGGTTCCTTTTGGTCCAAAGCACAACACGTGCACCAAAATTGGCCCGATTTGGAGCCTTGAACCTACCATTTTCCAACTTCTTCTTACGTAATAATGCGTCTCGATTGCTGGTGCGTACCCTTCCTATGTAGGACAAGGCATGCCGATGCCAGGACCAGAATAGAACGCTTAATTTAGCCCCTCGAGAAAATCCAGAAAAATGCAAAAAATATATTTTCTTTGGTGCAAGATTTTAGCCCCCCAAGTGCTGCAAGCGAAACCATACTCACCCTAGGTGTTAGTTTAGGGGTTATAACACTTTGAATGTTAAAAATGGCACTTTACTGACCTAAGTGGCTTTATTTACCGAGTCGTGGTGAGCGACTGCTGGCGTTCGACACTGACTGCAGGCTGGTGGTTTGCGCTCGACGACATGGTCCAGCACCGACGCCGACGTCACGACGCCCCCCTCCATACCATTGAAGAGTATTTTGGAAAATTCGCGCTTTTCGGTGGTCGATTGTTGTCGAGGTGTATTTATTGCGTTGGCCGTGTTTGTTTGGCCATACGCAGGAATGGACAGAAATAGAACAGTCGGCCCACTTACATCCGAAAAATGGCAGGGGGTTTATGGGAAGGTCGCGGATTTAAATGTAACAAAACGAAGACTAGGGTCAAGGGTAGAGTATTGCACGTGATAGGGTTTTTTACCTTAAGAGAGAAGGTTTAGATTTTTGGAAAGGTGTCAAAGTGTAGAAGAGGATTTTCATACTCTGAAACTACTGTTAGTCGACATCATTTAATATAAATTACCTCAAAATTTGTTATTGCAGTGGCAGGCCAAAAATATAGAAAGTTTTGGTAGCCGTACTAAAAATATACAATGTATTTCTCCTTCGGCCACCACAAAATCGTCATAGTGGATAATAATAAACAGAGTTAAATTTCTTGAGTACGGTCCATTATTGGATAATATATAACACCTTGAAACAATCTACTATACAAAATTCTTGAATATTTTCTTATATTCAGTATGAGTTTTCTTTCAGTTTTAAGCTCGATCAAAACCACAGTTAAATCAAATATCAAATACGAATTGACAATTTCGAATGGTTATCAAAGGCGAGTTTTGTAAAGCAAAATATTTTAACCAAAGGGAATGTTTATAATACTATTACCGYGTCTTATGTAAATGGATTAAAATCTTTTGGGTGGTAATTCCTCCGTGTATGAATGATTATTAATATTTTTCAATAATTTTTGTTTTATTTTATCTTGTTGAAAAGAAAAAACTCACTCAAATTACTCAAACAGAGATTTTTTTTAGAATTTGCTTAGATGATGTAACTAGTATTTTGTGAGCAAAAGCATTCTAATAATTTTTTTTGTCAGTGACAAAACAGTGGCTTCTAATCATTACTTATAAAAAAAATAAGCAGATTTGTTGCTGATTTGTGACGAAATGTTTTTAAATGGTTTCGCCGCTGTAAGAATAAAGTGTTAGATCTCAACAATCGTTGGTCATATTCCTGTGGTTTTTGAATTTACAAAAGAAAATAGAGCAATTTACAAGAAACTAAGGTTCGATGGAAATTCTAGTAAACGAATTCAATTTCTAAAGAAACTTTGAACTAGATTAACAATATTAACATTAAGGTACAAGTGACTGTTTAATTTGACTATGAAACTGGCCCTAAATCTATTCGAGCTAACTTTGGTTTAATAATTTTAATGATTTTGTTGTGAAACATTTCAAATCAATGTTTTTTTAAATTATGAGTCGTCTCTGATTACATCTTTCAACATTGATAATTGTTAAAGTTATATAAATTTTTGAGGTAATTTTTTTTGCTTTTCATTGGTCACATTCAAAAAGTGGTAACTTGCAAATTTAAACATTTAAAAAAGAAAATACGTTTTATTGTTAACAGTCTTGCTTGAAGGAAGAATTCCTCAAGATATTTTGTTCTATTTACAGAACACACTGTACATACAGGCAAAACAATACAAATTGTACCATTTTAATACAGGGTGTTTCGTCTAAATCCCACATTAGAAGTATTGGGAGTTGGAATAATCGTATTTATTTGAAAATTGTTACATAGCCATAAACCATTAAGTCCTCCTAAATGAAAATATTTTTAAGATGGCGGCACTTCCGGTTATACCGGTAGTCGGTCTGAACTTTCTTTAAATGAAAAGGTATATTATTTACTGCGTTTTTGGATTAATCGGATTATTTTATGGGAGTTCATCAGCTTTCCCTATACCTAAATTTAGCCGTTTTTTTTTTAATATTTGGAGTTTTTTAAAAATTTTTGGTTCTGTACCTTCCAATTTAAAAAATCGGTAACTCTGCTATTTTTTAAAATTTTGAATTCGTTTTTTTGGCGTTTGAAAGAGAAAGTTTAGATCTTTCTTCCGGTGTTTTCAAATTTTGAAAAAAAATAACAAACCATATAATTTTAAAGTTACTTTGCAATAATTCAAATACCCATAATTCAATTTTTCTAAATAAAATACCCCAATTTTTATTTTACTAAATGGAAGAGAATTTAATTCTGCATCGATCTGTATTAACATTCTTTATCTCGTATTACATACTTATAGTTCGTTTGTGACAATTAATATTGAGAAGCATGTTGAGATCCTTTGAAGTGAGAATATACAGGTGGTCCTGATATAACCAGCCTGTAGACATTCTGAACTAATTTTAAACAGACCCCTGTCCTTTGAAAAATACATATTTACACGGTTGTGGGTAAGTAGCTGGTAAAGTAAGTTTTTACAAAAAAATTATTGCATTTTTGAAAATGTGGTAGGTAAGTGTTAATAAAGTAAAAGTTGTAGCGAAAATAAAATACGCAAATGGTAAAAAATAGAATTTTTTCTAAGTTTTGCAAAATTGAATAAATATTGAAAAGTTTATCTTTGTACGAGGGGCACTAGAAAAGTAATCTACCTAGCAATGAAACAAAAGACGTACAATTTTGTTGATAATTTTATAATCAATATAATCAATAAACTTGCGCCATTTCTCCTCCAGTAAAAAGTTTACTTTTATAAAAAATATTTTCTCTTAACTCTTAAAAAATTCATCGACTACTTTTAGGCCATCATCAGAGTTAAAACGGCGTTTTCGAAAATTCTTCTTTAGTAATCAAAAAGACAAAAGTTAGACGGAACCAAGTCGGGACTATAGGGATGATGGTCTGTCTTAACGAAGCTGCAAAATTGGCTTAATTTTGACTTTTGCACGGTCGCATTGTCATGCAGCGCAAACATTTCTCAATTAGAAAAAATGAGTTTTTTTCCAGTAAATTGCTTTATGTAAATTATCAACGTGTTTGCATAGATGTTCGCATTTATTGTTGTCTTTTTTGGCATACATTCAATGAGAAGGATGCCTCTGATGTCCAGAAAAAACACTTTCACTTCGTGGATCATCTTCGACGGATTCTCGTCCCAATCCTAACTGTTTCGGCTAAAATTTTATTGTGTAATGTCATATTGTACCATCCTTATAGACGGCATTACATTCTCCCATGGATTGTTTTCGATTAATTTCTCTCTTTTGTCAAAAATTTTATGGAACTGCGTTACTCCAAATTTTTTATAAATTGGAAACTAATTATCATTATCATCAAATTTTGCAGATAATGTTAGAATACCTGACACTATTGTGATAAATTATGCTTGTGCGTTTCAATTGTTTTTTCATGGCTAGGTAGATTTTTTTCTAGTACCCCTCGTATACGATAATGAATATTTAAGATTGAAAAACATTTAAAGGAAGCAAGAAATAAATTTGTGTGTTTAATTTATACCATTAAAGAAGAAAAAGCTCACTTTAGACTTTCTTAATTAATACTTTTATTATTGTACTTATTCACGAAACAAAGTGATGAATCATATTTAACAATTAAAAGAGTTTAGAAACTTACAGAGATTGAATAGAGATGTCATCTACAAGTCAAAAGTCGATTTAAACCTAAGTTATCCTTGCAATTTGTCCTATTTAGATGCAAATGGATGTACGTTTAACATTATTTATTTTAAATAAGCAGAACAATTGTTTATACATTGAAAATCAAAAGTTTCGTAGTTGAGAGCAACGTGAGTTTTCTTGGAGTCATTCATTAATGTCAAAATAAAATTATAAAACGTTAATATTTGTGTAATGTGGAGTTACTGGACAAAACGCTATATTGCACTTATAAGTTGCTACATTTAACTCACTTAAGAAAGAATCCCTAACTTGACTGCGTCTCCTGAGCTTTTTGTACCCACTTGTAYATACCAACAATAACTATTAAATGCGCCAAACCGTTTAGTAATATGTTATAATACATATTACAATACAATCTTGTGGTTTAAAATTATTGCAACACATAGTTTGAAAAAAAAAAAACATTCGTATGGATCTATATTTATACTACTTTAATCACTACCTATTTTAGCCAACGTTAAAATATCTTCTTGTATTTTCTGCCCAAAAGGGACATTTTAATTACATCCTAGTATCTTACACATTGCTTTTTAGTTATTACATAACTAAGCTTTATTTCAATCAATTAGAAAATTAAAATAGAAAACGATTAAAAAGCTCCAATTTAAACTTTTCACTTTAAGGTGACCTCATTTATTCAAACTTACAGCTCATATGCCAAATATTCGCCAGTGAATTAAACGTTATTTAGGTCAGACGATGATCTTAATTTTTGTTCTTATGAGACAAAATTCTTCTATATTTCATGATAAAAACTTTGACGTATAAGTACTGTGCAATAAAGTTATTTTTATATATACACCTACACACATTTTATGTTTTCTGTCTTAGTGTTGCCAACTTAATTTCAAAATTCTACTTTTTGTATCACCCCAATTGAATATTTGTAAATACATATTATAAAACAAAATGTATAATACTTTTTAATAAAAGTTTCATAGTTTCAAAGAACGAAAAACACTCGCACTAGTTAAATAATTCAGATATGTTTGAATATTCAGTAGTGACGTAGAGTGCTAAATTTAAAAATTGACTGTTACGAAAACCTTCAGTTATAAGCGATGATTTTGCTTTAATATAACTATAAACATTTTGTTCCAACAAGATTAAAAATAAACCAGAATCTAATAAGTAATAATTGAAACAATGTAGTTCTAATATTTTATTTTCTATTTCTCCTTGTTATAAATACAAGTTCTATTTTCCCCTCGTAGGTCATTTTTTATTACAAATTTAGTTCTGTAAGGGTTTGTCAAGCAACCACCCGGAATTGAATCCGTGTTCCGGATCATGAAAACCCATGCATGCAAACATTCATTCCGACATTCATCTTCGTATAATCAGAGCAGTGGGTTGTGATAGAAATCTAGAAATAAAAGTGCTTTTTTAATCAACACGCGCAAAATTTTTTGAAACGTCTTCCAATTTTTGTGCCAAAACAATTTATTAAAACTGATAAATTGTAAATATTATTCATTGGTAAATTCATTTTATCTT